AAAATGAAGTAATAGGGAACCTTATTTGTACCTTTTGTAGCTCATGAGCAGAACCTGGACCTGCTCAGTCTCCATTCACTTCTCTTTTTGTGTTATCCTAGTGTCGTCTGTCTTTCCAGCTCTGCATATAAATTTGCATTCCAAAGTCAACTATAGTCCATAGGCTGGGTGCAGTGGCTCACGCCTATACTTCCAGCACTTTGGTAGGCCAAGGTGGTGGATCACCTGAGGTCAGGAGTTCAAGACCAGCCTGCCTCTACTAAAAATACAAAATTAGCCGGGTGTGGTGGCGCGTGACTGTAATCTTAGCTATCTTGGAAGGCTGAGACAGGAGAATTGCTTGAACCCAGGAGGTGGAAGTTGCAGTGAGCAGAGATTGAGCCATTGTGCTGCGTCCTGGGCAACAAGAATGAAACTCCATCTAAATAAATAGAAAAACAAAATAAAATAAAATCAACTATAGTCAATAAAAGGGAGTATCTTAATTTTTATTACCATGTTAAAAACAGCCAGAAATATTGGAAGTCTCCAGCCTTTCTTCCATTCGTGTCCTCTCTGATGTCCTCACTAGACCATCAGGTACACAAAGGAGAAGACCGGTTCTTTTTTTATTTTTTGCTATATATCCAGTTTCTGGCATAGTGCCTGGGACATAGCAGGTACCTAGCAAATATTGTTGAATGAGTAATGAACCCACCACTTGTTACTTAAAAGACCTAATGCTATCAGGAGACATTAGCAGACCATGCTGGCTCATTTTTAAGCTAACCCTCTCTAACAGCCAATTGAATTACCTACCCCACATCTACTAGCCCCTCTGGCACAACTTTTTGCAGGAAAACCAATACAGAAGTGCTTGGACATATCCACTTACAGTTTTGTGTGTTTGTTTCAAAAATCTTGACATTTATGCTGCATTGCCCTCTCTTGTACCTCTCTGATAAAAACTTCCTGTGTTGGGGTTGGGGGTGACAATATTTAAGCTGAGCCTTCTCCTTTACTCTCTGCCAGACCTACTCCTGATCCTTGCCCAAAAGGAGATTCTCTCTGTAATCCTGTCACACATTGTTTCCCCTTTTCCTCATTTTTCTCCTTCCCAACCCATTCCTAGCCAAGCTCCACCTCATTTTCTAATCCTGTTCAGTATCTCTTGAGATTCCTTGACACAATTTCAATTATATTGAGCCCTGAAGTTGGGCATCAAAGGAATAAGGCCTGAAAATGATTGATTGTGTCATAGGCCTGTTCAGTATCCCGTGCCCTAGGTTTGGACATGTGTGTGTGCGTGAACTGCTCCACCTTCAGCCGCAGGTACAGAGCCCATGTTAAAAAAATGTCAATCATTGTAAGTGTTCTTGTCTACGTTATTTTTAATTTTAGTACTGTGAATAAGCAAGTGTTAGAATCAGTTTATCAGAATTTTATTCATTTGTTTATTTGAATGGAGTTGAGTTTGTGAGCAACATGAGAGAATCTGAATATGTGCTGGAGAAAGGCGGGTGGACAGGTAAGAAGAGAAGGAAGCGGGAATGGCTGGATACGAATCCTGGCGAAGAGCTGGATATTAATCTCGTACCCAGCTGCCTACCTATCCAATAGTGAACTCGCAGTATTTCCTCTCTGGCACAACTTTTTGCTGGAATTTACACAGATGTAGACAATTAAGCCTTTGAAACCTGAAATTTGGCTTCCAAAGCAGTTTATCCCATTGTCTACACAGATGCCACTTGAGTGAGAATTTAGAAAATTCAAGAGTTTAGAAAATGATATCCTCCATCCCTGCCAGAGGCCGTTTGAGCTCATAACATTTAAAAACAAAACGAGGCTCTCCAATAGGCTCAGGCAGATTTGGCAGACTTGTCACTCAGTGTCCCTGGCTTGGGTACGTTTTCTTCTTCTCCACATCCTCCTTTTCCAGGAGCACAGTCGCTCCACAAGTGAGTTCAAATGCCAGCCGACATAGGAGAACAAGTTTTCAGTCTGGAGCCCACTGGCCATGAACCTGCAAGCAGCTGCTTTTTCTTCCCAAATGTGTTCCGAGCTCCTGGACTCAAGTAGAAAAACAGTGGCCTGAAGTTGTCTTCAGTAGAAACTGATACTCGTTCTCTAAGAAGAGTGTGTCTGCGAGTTAAATGGCCCAAGAATGAAAAGAAAGACCTGCTCAGAGTTCTGTCGGGCAGCTTTCAGGTTATAGACAGCTGTAGAAAACCAACACACTGCACTCACATCAGGAGATCAAATAGGAGATTTACAGAGTGTGCCAGGCTCAAGAGAGTGCTAGCAAAACCTACCTTTGACCTTCTCGGCGTTTCTATTTCACTAGAGAAACCCCGTCACACCTCAGGAAACTGATTTTATAAATCGTGTGTTTTAAGCTTGGCTTCACACATTCCAGAGAGAAGCTCCTCCCTGGTACTTGTTTCAGGGAAGGTAGAGTAAAGGCAAGAGAAATGAGAGTGAACCAGGTGCCTTCTGACAACCAGCCAAGCTCGTTCCCTGTCCTTCTAGGTCTCCTACACTAAGAGAAGGAGTGCAACCAGTTTTCAAGGAGTCAGGGCAGGCATTTTTCCCTATTTCAGGGTTCAAATCTGGAGTCGATGGATTCCAGGAAAACCAATGCAGAAGTGCTTGGACATATCCACTTATAGTTTTGTTTGTTTGTTTCAAAAACCTCCATCACTTTTCTTTGATTCTCAGAGAAATCTGTAGGCAAAACCAGGTTCAGAACTGCTCCCCTCTACCCTGCATTATTTCACATTACCTTGTCATCAGGGACAGAGACCCCAAAAGCAGAGGCCCAGCAGTAGCAGATGAACCCAACCTGTTGCCAGAGTCCCTGAATGAGGAGATTCGTACCCACCACATTGATTCTCTCCTGACTGGCATCCCCAATCTCTATTCCTAGAGTAAATAAAATAGGAACTCTCTCTCTCCACCACCACCATTCTATCCCAGCATTATTCATTACTTTCATGATACTCTGAATATTTCATAAAAGTCTTCTCTCTTCCTCATTTCCCACCCCAGCAGGAACAGGCCCAGTTGGGTATTTTTCTGTTGCAGAGAAACTCCTTTCCTTATCTGCTCAGTCAGGCAAAAGAACCTTGGTTAAAATGATCAGTTGGGCCCATTGTGGTTTTGTTTCCATTCTTAAAAGGACCTAAAGGGATTATTATAATCCAGGACTATGTCAAGGCTTAAAAAGGAGTAAGATCATTGACTTTATGTAAGCTTACACACGTAAGTGGCAAACTATCAAGATTATCCATCTCTGCTACAGGCTGTGCTTCTGACACTATCAGGAAGACTGGTGAAACCTTCAAGCAGGAAGATATGAGGAAAGGGCTGGGTAGCATTTCACACCTGTAATCCCAGCACTTTGGGAAGACGAGGCAGGTGGATCTAGTGAGGTCAGGAGTTTAAGACCAGCCTGGGCAACATGGTGAAACCCCATCTCTAAAGTAAAAATACAAAATGTAGCTGGGCATGGTGGCACATGCCTGTAATCCCTGCTATTCAGGAGGCTGAGGCAGGAGAATCGCTTGAACCTGGGAGGTGGAGGTTGCAGTGAGCCGAGATTACGCCACTGCACTCCAGCCTGGGTGACAGAGTGAGACTCCGTCTCAAAAAAAAAAAAAAAAAGACTAAAGGACATGTCTGTGCCCAGACTCTACTTCTGTTGCTGTTTCAGCTTTTGACACTTTTTATTGTCCACACTTTTCCTACCTCTAAGTATTGAGTTTCTTATATCAGTGCTAATATGATCATTGTAAAGAATTATCCCTTTTCCACTCTGCAAATTTTCAAAGGTCAGGTTTTATGTAGAGAATCTTTATCCAGTATAGTATTTCAGCATTAATACTGTCTTTCCAATTTTGCTAATACTCTAGAGTGACATTTAATTTATCATCCAAAGCAAAGCTAAACTACCACAATAGGTGTAGACCGAGACCATTATAGCCAAACTAAAACCAAGGTCACGATGTTTTGCACAGAACCATGCAGGGATAAGTGGTTCACGCTCCTCCACCACTTACTGTGTCTGCAATACCCACCTCATACTGGATTTGTCTCCCGCTAGCATGATAATGGTGGAAGGTGCTTTGAAGCAGGAAGATAATAAAATCCAAATTAAGCACTGTCTAAAAAGAAAAGTCTTCCCTTTTACTGAAGTCATGAACTCTAGCCTGCCCCCTATATTGCATTATCAACACATTCTTTGCAGCAAGCAGCTGCAGTTCGGTTGTTTAACCATCTCGTGTTCTGTAGATGCAGAGTGGAGTGGACTATGTTGTAATAACCATAATTGGTCTGTCGCCTGATGCGTGCAGCAAGTCAATACGCCAAGATATGGGGTTGCAGCAGAGAAAGCGGTTTAATCATAGGGCCGCCAAATGAGGAGATGGAAGGAAACCTCAAATCTGTCTCCCCAAGGAGTTTGGGGCTAGGATTTTTAAGGGTTTTGGAGTAAGCCAAAGTTGGGAGATCATTGATTGGTCACAGAGAGCAGGATGAGGTCATGGGACAGAAGATGAAGAAACAATATTCTCATGTTGATCCATTTCCTGTGTGAGGGTCTTTAAACTGGCTGCCCTCAGCTGTTCTGCTGGAATTCAATATCTGCTTAAGCAATTCTTAAACAAAAACCATATGATTCTAACGGTAGAAATCCTATGTATAGAAACAATGGTGATCCAAATGGTCAGTATCCAGTGCTACAGAGTTTCGGTGACAAGGAAGTGGGTCAAAGTGCAGACTGATTAATACTTAATTACAACTATATTTCTACGCAGAATTCTAAAGCCTGTGAAGATGGCTTCAACGTTACATTTAATTCCCTGATTTTTCTTCATAAATTGCACACAAATTCAAAGTCTCATTCGATATGCATGTAATCAAAAAGATCATCTAGGTCTTACTTAATCTATACTGTGGTTGTTAGGAGCCAGTGATAAAACATGGCACAGCTCCACACTCAATGTTCTTTCTTCTTTCCACAGATCCGAAACATAGCAGCAAATCTCTGTGTGGACAGCAAGCACGGAGCCACAGGAACAGAGCTGAGGCTGGACATCTGTGTCAAGGACGGTTCTGAACGAACATGGTCTCATGAACAGGTGCGTCAGCTCCCAGAAGCCAGGGCAGTGGGAGCCAGTAACAGGGGGCTGAGGCAGACACTGGAGGATGCAGCCGGAACAAATCTCCGGATGGTGCAGATGGTGCGTGTGGAACCTGGAGTGAGGCTGCTGTGTCACCAGCCAGCCCTGCAGTTCAGTGAATCACTTAGCCCCCGTTTATGTTTCTTCTCAGAGCAGATGTGATAATCAGTTCAGATAATATACACAGTTATGCTTTAAATATGAGAAAGCATGGGAGAAATGTGGACTGCAACTCTAGCCTTATTTCTTTTCCCAGAACAAGAGTTGAACACAGAAAGCCTGTAGAGTGCTGTGGAACACTTCCAACTAAATTCCATGGTTTTAATGACTCTGTTGCTGTGTTTGGGACATTATCTAACCTTGCTTTTCCCCTGACCATGAGCAGATCACTTTACATGGGCCTCCTGCATTGTAGTAGTTTTTAATCTTACACATGAAGGATGTAAGTGACAACACCCCGACGTGGACTTTAGGAAATACTTTAAGGCTGTAATTCGATCTTTGTTTTGTTTTGCTTTTTTTTGTGGGTACATGGTAGGTGTATATATTTATGGGGTACATGAGATGTTTTGATACAGAGATGTAATGCATAATAATCACATCGTGTAAAATGGGGTGTTCATCCCCTCAAGCATTTATCCTTTGGGTTTACAAATAATCCAATTATATTCTTTTAGTTATTTTTAAATGTTCAATTAAATTATTATTGACTATAGTCACCCTGTTGTGCTATCAAATACTAGGTCTTTTTAATTCTTTTGAACTATTTTTTGTACTCACTAAGCATTCCCACCTGCCACCTGCCACCTGCCCCCACCCCCACCACCCTCACCAGCCTCTAGTAACCATCTTTCTACTATCATCTCCATGGGTTCAGTGGTTTTGAGTGTTAGATCCCACAAATAAGTGAAAGTGTGCAATGTTTGTCTTTCCATACCTGGCTTATTTCACTTAGCATAATAACCTCCAGTTCCACCCATGCTGTTGCAGATGACAGGATCTCATTCTTCTTTATGGCGGAGTAGTACTCCATTGTGTACAGCACCACATTTTCTTTATTCATTCATCTATTGATGGACACTTAGGTTGCTTCCAAATTTTGACTATTGTGAACAGTGCTGCATCAAACATGGGAGTGCGGGTGTCTCCTCAATATACCGATTCCTTTCTTTTGGGCATATACCCAGCAGTGGTATTGCTGAATCATGTGTCAGCTCAATTTTTAGTTTTTTGAGGAACCTCCAAACCATTCTCCATAGTAACTGTACTAAGTTACATTCCCAAAAACAATGGATAAGGTTTTCTATTTCTCTGTATCCCCAGCAGCATTTGTCATTGCATTTTGGATATAAGCCATTTCAACTGGGGTGAGATGATATCTCACTGTAGTTTTGATTTGCGTTTCTCTGATGATGGATGATGCTAGCACCTTTTCATCTGCCAGTTTGCCATTTGTATGTCTTCTTTTCAGAAGTATCTATTCAAATCTTTTGCCCATTTTTTAAGAGTTTTCTGAGTTCCTTATATATTACAGTTATTAATCGCTTGTCAGATGGGTAGTTTGCAAATATTTTCTCCCATTCTATGGATTGTCTCTTCACTTTGTTGATTGTTTCCTTTGCTGTGCAGAGGCTGTTTAGCTTGATGTGATCCCATTTGTCTATTTTTGCTTTGGTTCCCTGTGCTTTGGGGTATTACTCAAGAAATTTTGCCCAGACCAATGGCCCGGAGAGTTTCCTCAATGTTTTCTTGTAGGAGTTGTATAGTTTGAGGTCTCAGATTTAAGTCTTTAATCGATTTTAATTTGATTTTCGTATATGACAAGAGATCGTGGTCTAGTTACCTTCTTCTGCATATGAATATCCAGTTTTCCCAGCACCATTTATTAATAAAACTGTCTTTTCCTCAGTGTACGTTCTTGGCACCTTTGTTGAAAGTGAGTTCACTATAGGGTAGGGATATGTTTCTGGGTTCACTATTCTGTTCTCTGTACGACTGTCTTGCTTTTAATCGAAAAACATTTCAATGCAACTCAGTTAGTGTGTGGATTTCTAACCCACTTAGAAATGTGAAAGTCCTTATGAGCATCTTTCCTGATACTGTGTCACCTATGAAAGAGAAAAGATAGATAATGGGTAGAACTGTCTTTGCTCTCTTTTAGTGTTTTATATTTTAGAGATGGGGTCTTGCTCTGTCACCCAGGCTGGACTGCAGTGATATGATCAATGCTCACTGCAGCCTCAAACTCCTGGGCTGAAGCAATCCTCCTGCCTCAGCACCCTGAGTAGCTGGGACCACAGGTGCATCTCACTCAGCTCACCTAACCCTTTCACTGTTTTCATTTTAAATTAAGAACTATTTCAGGTTGGGTGCAGTGGCTCACACCTATAATCCCAGCACTTTGGGAGGCCGAGGCAGACAGATCAACTGAAGCTGGGAGTTCAAGACCAGCCTGACCAACATGGAGAAACCCTATCTCTACTAAAAATACAAACTAGCCAGGTGTGGCGGTACATGCCTCTAATCCCAGCTAATCGGGAGGCTGAGGCAGGAGAATCACCTGAACCCAGGCGGCAGAGGTTGCAGTGAGCCGAGATTGTGCCATTGCACTCCAGCCTGGGCAACAAGGCCAAAACTCCATCTCAAAATTTACAAAAGAACGATTTCAATAGAAAGCTATAGAAAACATCATAGCAGATATTTATGTACTCATCATACTCACCTTTTATGAAAAGCAAAAAGGTAAGCAAGCAGTTCCCAGTAACGCATTACTGCCTCCTATGTTCCTCCAGTGTTCATCTTGTACATTAAACTGGAGAAGGTCCACCATGTCCAGCGCAGGACATTGAACAGGACATTGTTCAGATGTGCTGAGATTCACTTCCCTTGCTCCACCTCCCTGCCCCTCCCTGCCCCACGTCTACCACACTTCACAACGCAGAGCATCACGATGTGAGGGAAACAGCCACAGACCAAGTCCCCAACGCAGTCCAGAGTCGTTCAGTCCATCCACAGTGCCTCTCCTCTAGCCACTGATCCAACCTTTGAACCCTCTCCCCACAGCCTCATGGTATTCTGGAAGGACTGTGGGCCTTGTAGTCAGGCCAATGTGGATTTTAGTTCAAACTGTGTGGCCTTGTGAAATTGTTAAATCTTTCTAGGCCGTAGTTCTTCCATCTTGGACAGGGTGGTCAGGAGAATACATCTTGCAGCAGCATCTTGCACAGGCTCCAGGTGCAGAGCAATATCCTCTCTCTCCTGCCTTCCTTCTCTCAAACACCCACAAATCCCTTTATGCTAACACCAATTAGAAACCTCTCTCAAGTCCAAGGCAGCTGGCACTTTGGCTTCATTTATCTGTTCCCAGCATAGTCAGCAAATACTAGTTATTATTCACTCAAATATACCCTGCCGGCCTGGGCACAGTGGCTAGTGCCTGTAATCCCAGTGCTTTGGGAGCATGAGGCAGGTGGATCAGTTGAGGTCAGGAGATCAAGACCAGCCTGACTAACATGTCAAAACCCAGTCTCTAGTAAAAATACAAAACTTATCCAGGCATGGTGACATATGCTTTTAGTCCCAGCTACTCAGGAGGCTGAGGCAGGGAATCATTTGAACCTGGGAGGCAAAGGCTGCAGTGAGCCAAGATCGTGCCATTGCACTCCAGCCTGGGTGACAGAGTGAGACTCCATCTCAAAAAACAAAAAATACATACACACACATATCCATACATATGTGTGTGTGTACAGCCATACATACACATACACATATATGTGTGTATGTATGTATATGCATGTGTGTGTATTATATATATATATAAAAAATGTGTGTGTGTGTGTATTTTTTTGTTTAAAACCCATCTGGTTTTATACACACACACACACACACACACATATCCATACATATGTGTGTGTATACAGCCATACATACACATACACATATATGTGTGTATGTATGTATATTTATGTGTGTCTATTATATATATATATAAAATGTGTGTGTGTGTGTGTATAAAACCAGATGGGTTTTAAAGAAGGCTCTGTGACTCCAGAATTTATTGATAAGAATCAAACACGAGTGAAAAGTTATTTGCCTCCTCCTTCCTCTGTCTGTTTAGATAAGCACCATGGGGGATGTTACCACGCACCTGAGGAGTAGTGCTGGACTGTTAACTCCAACAAGCAATTCTGACTTCAGCCTGGGAACAAGAGAGATGGTTTAGAAACTATGGGAAAGACCAGCATCTAGAGCGGAAAAGGACTTTTTCAAAAAGAAAAAGGAGCAAGCCATCAGGAAAAGCTTCATTTCTTGGTCTAAATTCCTCTCTACCATCTCTATTCAGCCCAACCAAGAAACACATGTGGCCAGCTGGTGAATATAAAGCAGGCCTAAATGCCTGAACTGGGTTTAGTTTCTCTATCCAGCAAGGCTCTAGAATAAAATCTGCTCTGGCCTGCAGATTTTATTTGACAGATGAACATGGATGTTAACAAAGGCAACGATATTGCATACACTTTAAAAATTGTTGGTTCATTCCCCGCACCCTCCACTCCCCATCCCCAGGCTAAACTGCAAAAATCTATGGCCTGTAATTCAAGAAATGGTCACCAGAGAGCAGCACTAGACAAGCAGAAAACTACATAGGCAAAACAGAAAAACCAGTTTAATACAGCTCTTTAAAAAGATTTCCTGTCTCTAGAGATCCTAAAAATGAAGCTACAGTAGGATTGAATATGGTTGATAAGTGGTGAAAAATGCATCATATTTGAAATACTGCCATATATTGACTTGGAGGTTAAACATTACAAGCTGTTTCATTTGCCGGTAATTAACTGTAAGCTTTATTCAGTATACCACTCAGTGACTTATAAGAATTAGGAATCACCCTTACACATTTAAATTAAAATTCCTGCATGAGGAAAGCATATCAGAACATGAAAATTATGGGTTTTCTTTTT